CAATTCAGTTCGACATATCTGATTAAGCTTTTTTTATAAATTGACAATCTATATATATAATAAATATTTTTGTGAAAATTAAAAAAATATGCCTATTTCTTAAAATTGATATTGCTAATTTCATGACATTGTGATCGTGAATATAGTATATTATTTATGATTGTGTCATGACTCTTGATGTAGTGTAATACTGTACAATATAATTGTCAGATGTCTTAAATTTTATATTGCATAAATATAAACTAGTATAGTACATATGTCGTATTGACCATGAAGATTTGGAATCTCCATTTTACATCATTACTGTTTTAAATTTTAAAATTTGGTTTGACCGGAAATATAATTAAGAAAGTATAGAGTAATTACACTGGGAATTTCAAACAATTTTGCTGTGAACTTTAGAACTACTTTTAATTTATGTTGATTTTATATGAATTTTTCATATAAATTTAAAAAAAAGGTTTATAGCGAAAACTGTATTCATGGGTTAGCACCTCTACAAATGCTGGAATACATTTCTCGTTATCGAATTTTAAAATTTAGCAATCGCTCTAGGTAAAGGATTTGGAATAAAAAGATTTCGAATCCCAATGGATTCCAATATGACAAATTTATATTTGTATAAATAAAATTAAAATAAATATAGACAAGAGATGGCACTATTTTAGAACTTTTGCTTGAACGGTTTCTTTTAAGGATTCGCTTTTAATAATTTTCACGAAGTTAGAATAATGAATTTGGTTTGAATGTGAAAAAAAAAATAATAAAAAATAAATAATCTCTTTCTTTTTTAAAAGGATAAGGGAGTCGGGTAAAATTTTTGATTGATGCTTGGAGCAGTTACAATTTTACCAATAATTTTCCTCGATTATAAAATACATGCTAAAATATAAATCATATTTATAAATATTAATAATTAATATATAGAAGTGTGATTTTTTAAGGTCAATGCATGAATAACAATTTTATTATATTATTTTTATCAATATTTATGCAGGGAAGATGTCAAGATAGTTAATCATTATATTAATTATAATAAGAAATCAATCATATTCACATCTATAAAATTTAAGTTGAATGAAACTTTCACATTATATTTTATATATTTTTTTTTAAATTACAGTTAAGATATTATACTTGAATTGAAATTTAGTTATATTAATTTGGTCTATTTGATCAAAATGTTTTTTATTTTAAATTTTATATCTCTGTTTCTAATCGTGTATTCACAGAATTCATATGAGGTAACTTTTCAAAATTTTACCTCAGCTTTATTTAGGAAGTAAAAATTAGATTTTTTTCGAAAAGGACAATATATTTTAAAATGGAATCTATTTATAAAATAAAAAGTTTGAGGGTGTTTTCATCAATATTTTAAGAAATCAGATTTTTATGGGACAGTGCTTATGGAGGCTTATGGCGGTTGTCTAAACCTCTCTTTTACTTATTCTATAAAAAAAAATCCTTTATGCAAATAAATTTCTTATAATATATATAGTCGGTTTCACTGCAAACCCCATTATAAATTTTCAAAATGCCCTTTGTGCATTTTGTTAGTCTATATGTATCAAATCTTAAAGCTGATATTCAGTAGAAATGCTATATTTAATCATTATTTAAAACTTCCATTCTATACTTTTTTTAGAATTTGGCAAAAATATGTATTATTCCAAAATCTTTATTATTTTTGTTTAATTAATATTTTATTCATATTGTAAAGGGTTATTTTATTATTTAAATAGCTCATGATCTCAGTCTTATTAACTTTAAAATCACCATTAATATTAAAATACGTGTTTTTTCATCTTTCTTACCAAATTTTAAAAAATGTTAGCTAGACGTTTTTGTAGTGAGAGAGGTGATATTCTACTATATTTCAAAGTTTTGATTTTATAAGATTATGTATTTATATTCTCTAAGAGCCAGCATATTAATTCTTTGTATGCATTCCAATTAAATCATTGCTGGATAATAGATCCATGTTTTGTCAATCAATCCATATTCAAGCGAGTATCGATCGGCCCGGCCCAGATTATTTTGAAAAAATTTCAAATTTCTTTTTGAAAAAAATTTTGATAAAAATGTTTAGCCAAACTAGAAAATGTAAAAAAAGTACTAGTTTCACAAAGTTTATAATTAGATAATTGTGCATCTTTCTAACAATTAACTAACATAGAATCCTCATGAAAAACTTTCGATTAAAATATTTAAAAAATTATTTTTTAAAAACAAATTAAAATTATTTTTGTAAAATTTTTATTCTGAATCATCAACAAATTTGCAGTTTAATGACGTATATATCGAAATATAATATTTAGCTTAAGAAAAAAATTAAAAAGTTTAAAAAACTTTTAAAACGAAATATATCGATTATACATCATTGCCAATTTAATGAGGATTCTAAATATGTAAATATAAATTTATTTATTAATTAAAGATGCTCAATTATATAATTACAATCTTTGCTCAGAAACTGGAAGTTTTCATCAACAATATTATTATTTTTACATTTTTTTTTATTCTAGATTTTGGCTGTAAAACGTTCAATATCCATTCTAGATTATAATGATATATTGATATTTAAAAGGTGTACATAATATTTTGAGAATATAATATATTGCACAATATATAATATGTTTTATAAAATAATTGCTCGACTAAATTAATTACGAATTTAGTACATGAATTTCGTATTAACGTTATTAATCTAAGTATCCAAGTTGCATAACTAAAATTAGTAACTTATTTTCGTGTAAATTTCGAAATCATATCTTATTCGTATAATATTTTAAATGATCATATATGAGTTATGTGAATTTCGTTTTAAATACCTGGACGTATGAATAAATTAGTTAGAATAAATTAGTTCACTAAATTCGTAACTAATTTAGTGGGGCCACGGTCTTAAAAAATAATAACAACTCGATTCGATGTATGTCAAGGCCAACGAATTAATAAAAAGGAAAAATGTTATGTATAAAATACTTTTAGGATTGAAGGTGAATATAATTTATGCAGCCAATTTATTATATATACTACCTGCATTAAATAATTATTATTTAAAAATTTGTTTATAAAAAGATAATTTAGTCCCAGCTCTGCTAAAAAACACAATTTGGAGCCCGGCCTTCTGCAATTTATTAAATTTTAAAAGTTTAAATGTGTGAAAGTTGTCGAATTTTATTAATTTTTTTAAAAATGTTACATGACTACATTTTTGAATTTGCTTAAACACTGGGCATGTCTAAGAGGATAACTCTACCCAAAGGGCAGGGTTCTGTAAGTCGAAGAGAATTGATAAACAATTAGTTTCCCCTCATTAAAAATGATGATATTAATAAATTCGTTATTTATTCATTTTACAATTAAAATTGATGATATTCAATAAAATCATTATTTATTATTTTAAAAAAATATTGAAAATGAATAAGAGTCTGTAAAAATTAATCTACTAATATATAAGATGTAAGCAATCCCCAAACAGAGACTCATCCTTCCTCAGTAAGATTTGTATTGCCATAAAATTAATATCTTTTATAAATTTATCCTATGAATTAAAAATGAAATAGTTTTAATTTTATTAACTTTCAAGATATTGCTTTAACTTCTATTTCCAATATAGTAAACTTATTTTAAAGATTCAAATAATATTTTTCAGAGGGTATGGCTATACCCTACAATTATGCCTCTCGAGTTTTATTGGAATTCATTCTGCTCTATGATAGATATTTTTCAAAGTTCAATTAATAATTTTTATAAACCTGTTTTTTAAATGGTTTCTTGTGTTTGTATAATATATTTTAAAATATATTTGACATTTGACAATCAATTTTAAGATCTCTTGTTTTGTTTTTATGGGATAGATATTTTATTTTCATATATTCCTTCTGTAACGTTTAAATTTCAATTAACTATTGTTTATAAAATTAAAAGAACTTAGTTGTAACTTGAAATATTCCAGACGTTATCATAAAATTTCCTATATTTACGCATGATTCTAAAATGGTAACTTTTATTTTAGATAATAAAAAGTTTCATGCACCCCACCCCCCAACCCCGCGATTTTTCTTCTATCTGCTTCCTGTAAATAAATGAATTAATATATATTATCGCAGGTGAATTTTTCAAATTCTACAGAATTAGTCAAGTATAAAAGCAAACCGAAAATAAGAATCATCCGCGCCATTTTTAGAGGCTTAAATGATTTCCGAAAATGGCAACAACAACCTATAGTTTATTCTTATGATCCAGCCAAATTTACTAGTATTCACATTAAAAATTTTTTACTACCCATTTATAACCAATATTAAGATTGAGGTATTATAAAATTTTAAATTAATTCCGATATTATAATATGGACGAGATTGACTTTAAAGATAAATAATTAATAAATATTTGCCAAAATATTAAACTGAGGTTGTTATTTTTAATACGCTAGTATAATATCTTTTGTCTAACTACCAAAATTTTTTTTATAAATAGTTATTTCGCATTAATGGGTTTACCAAGGTGTCTGTCCTCCGATCTTAGATTCAGGGCCGTAACAAGAAATTTTGGCTTGGAGAGGCAGGGAGGGGCGCACATTTTTAAAAATTGCATATACTTTGATTTATATTCTTTCTTGTTCTACCTTAATTAAAACTTCATCATTTTAATGGGACACGTAAATAAGCTGCTTAGAATATGAATTAGGTTATTATAGTTGCATTTTATTATAAAATATTAAATAATTTGTAATAAATGACTGAATTAGAAAATTATAATGTATTACGTATATTTAAATTCACATAAAACGCTAAAAAAACAAATTTAAAAATTCCCTGTTTTGGGAGAGCCAAAAAAATTTGGGAGCTAATCCCTAAATACTTCCCTCACGTAGTTACGGTCCTGTCCAGATCACATAATCTTATTTGCGGATAAGCAAATTGTTTTATTTTAATTAATTTATTATCAATTAAAAAAAAATTTTCTGAAAATATTAAAGTTACTTAGGCGTTACGATGCCTTGCGCTGAAGGTTATGATATTAAATTTAAGATTATGAGCACAATCCATTTAAAAGATTCAACGATTATAAATTAAATATAATTTCAAAATTTACAATTAAGATGCTGAACAGATCCGGAAAATTGAAAAGGCCTTAGAGTTTTGGAGTCAAAATACGTGCCTGAGATTCAAGAAAGAAACAGATCCAATGAATATAGACTATATATATTTTGATACTGGAACTACAACGTATAATTTACCAAAAAATATAAAAAAATCAAAGATTTTTTAGATTTTTGTAATAAATAGATTAGGCAAAGTTCTCTAGAAGTTTTACTTTTTAGATATTGTCTTTTAGATTTTTGATTTCTAATTTAGGAATGTCCCAATTTTTCTAATTCTTATCAACATTACTTTTAGAAATTTATCATAAAAGCTAAAAAATATAATGTTCATTAATAATTATTTATACACATTTTTATGTTTAAAACATAACGCCAGGATTGTTTCCATCCAGAATAAGGTTTTTATTTTGAAAAGATATAAAAGTTCTATATAAAGTTGTAAGTTTTTGATTTTATAACGACACCAGGCGAAATTTCCGAGAAAATTAAATTGGTTTCAACTGTTGTGTAACAACTTTTATCTCCCCCCCTTCCTCCCAAAAAATTGTTAATTTCGTACTTTTTAACGATTTTGCCGATTATATGTAAACAGATTATTGTCACTTTATAATAAGTTAGTCAACATTTTAAAAATTATCTATAATATTTATATGAATCTATCACCTTTTAGAACATGTACCACACCTCTAGGAAGGCAAGGTGGACGCCAAACATTACTCTTAAACGGACCTTGTTTCAATGTAATAATTTTATTTAATATAAAACAAAATGGTTGCCTCTTTATATTTAAAATTTAAAGACACTACGCAAAATATTCTATTAATATATTTGTTTTATCGATGATCACTTGAAAGGGCCATTTATTAAAAATAATATGTGCCGGTGTAAGATTGTGAAATCAATACCCATAGTAGCTTCAATACCGTATTGATATTATCATTGTACATTCAATACAGTAGTGATATTTTGGCATTGTAGAATTAATATCGTATTGATTTTTAAGTGATGTTTTCATCGCTTCAAATATATTGGCGTCCATTAAAATTGTAAAATATTTATTCATTATATATTTTTTCATCGTTTCAAATATATTGGCGGCCATTAAAATTTAAAAATATTTATCTAATATATATAATCGGCGTAATCAAGAAATGAACGTTTTCGTATAACCTTTGGTATTAACTTATCTTAATTTTGATTTTTATTTTTGGTATTAACTTTTCTATCATCTTAATGTTATCGAAGGAGACTATACATATACCTCTAATGTTAAATTATTTTTTTTAAAAAAAAGAAAACATTCTTTAAATTTTTTTTAATACATCTACGAGATTCGAACCACTGACTTAACGTTCATTAGACAAATGTTCTTTCTAGTCACACCCTTCTATATTTAATTTTGTCCAATTCTTCTTATATATGGAACTATATTATGATAAAGTAATTTAAATATATCAATATTTATCTTTTTTTATTGGAAGCTCCAGGCTTGGGAAAACAATTTCAAAATTATTATCGGTTGGCCAGGTTTGAGAAATTTTTTTTAAAATTATAATGGGTGGGGCTGGGCTTGGAAAATATTTTCATAATACTTTTTATTGGAAGCTGAAAAAAATTTCAAAATTATTATCGGTTGGCCAGGTTTAGAAAAATTTTAAGGATAAGGAGTATATGGTGGAGTTAATGGATTTTATGATGTCGTTGATACTCAGACTGGAAAATAAAAATCCAAGAGGATCACCATGAATGCCTCAATAGATGGAATTTTATAAATATCAAATTGCAGAGTAGAAAACTGATGATAACAAGAATGAAAAAAATTAGTGTAACCCGAAGGGTACAAGAGGAATTCAGGAAGGAATTTCGAAAATGGTATAATAACCATTGGAATAGTTAATTATGTTTAAAGACGCGTTAGTAGATTGATTTTCTAAGTGTATTCTAATAAGATGTACAGCGGCTTCACAGCCATCAGAGATAAAAATGAATATATATATGTGGACCTAAAGACCTCCAATAAAAATTATTGAAAAAATCTACCTCATACCCTCCCCCCTCCCTTATTGATATGACTTTATTAGTAGTTTTATATACTTATTTATCCGCATGATATACTAGGATTAAAATAATAAGCAAGCATCCCATAAAAACTCTATTGGAAATTACGTTATAACGCTAGATTAAATGGAGCCTTATCAAATATATCCATAGTATTAAGGATTGCTCTAACCGTTCAACGTAGCATTCATAGAACGTAGTTTCACTCAAATTAATTAAAATATACCTACGATTTTGTATGGAACATAATCTCTTTTTAATTTCAATAGAAAATTATATGGACTCATCGTTAGATTATACTTACATAATATCCTCTTTTGCATATAAAAAAGCGAGGAGGATATATAAAATTGCAATATTTTAGTTTATGATTATATTCATTTTTATAATGTGCGCTACTCATTTATGATTTAAATTATTACTTTTAGTTCTCATTGCAAAAAATTATCAAAAAGCTTAGGTGAATTTTATTTTTTAAAGGGTCGCCAAATTATTTTTTGCCCTGGGCCGCCTGTAATCGGTCTCCTTTTTTTTTATTTTGATTAAAAGCTTTATTTCTGAAGATGCATAAGGTGTTGGTAACTATTTGCTTGAGAGAGATATAAATTTTTTAAATATTATTATAATAAATCGATAAAATATATAGGAACTTACCATAAATCTATTTAATTCACTTTTCGATTTTAATTTACTTGATTGTAAATGAAAGCTGAGTAACATTTAATTATGCCCACCTGAATCTATAATTAATAAGACATAGTTATATTAATTTAACTAATAAAATATATGTGAGTTAAAATTAATTCGCTATTGCATGGACATACTTAGAATACAAAAAAGTGATTAAATTATATTTTCCAACTCACTACATAGATCATAATAAAAATTTTAATTGCCATTTTTTCCTTTACCAAAATTAAAGGTTTTTTTTCAAACGTGTAATCAAAGGGAACACGTTAGGCTTAATTATTAAAATTTTGACAACTATGAGTCAGCCGTATATAAACCTAATTAATATTCTTATTTTCAAAGGTCCGAACTATATCACAATTAATTGGAAGAGCCTTAGGTGTAATTTATGAAGTTCAACGAAAAGACAGAGATTTGTATATGGTTATAGAAGCAAGCAAGGTTTGAAAAAAAAATATGTTTGATACTATGTAATGCTATTAAAATTTATTGATTAAACTAGTTATTATATATATCTTTTAATAGATAGACCCACTCCTTATGGTCAATATAGATGAGGTGGATTCCGATTATTTCAACCTACCATATGAATACGGAAGTGTGATGCAATATTATGAAAATGTAATTAATTTTTAACGTAGGTTATGAGAAAGTATTTATATTAATTAACTATATTAGGAATTCAAATTGGGCTCAAGTTTACCACCGGTATTCTCAGCTAAAAACTCTCGTTTTCAAACCACTATAGGTTCAAGTTATGAACCAACCTTTTTTGATTTGACAGCTATCAATCGTTACTATTGCAATAGTAATTCAATTTAATTATTTATTTTTGATCTTTGGTACTTTTCAGACACTTGTTTTGGGCAAAATTCGCAATGTTCGAATTCGGGATACGCTAAGCCATTTGATTGTGGTACTTGTTTTTGTCCTACTGGGTATGCCGGAAGAAAATGCTTGGAAGCTCAGCGGAGCGAAAGTTAGTATGCCTATAATATATTTAAAATTATCAAGGTTGCTTTGTTATCATAATACAAAACGAAATAAGATAGTTGTTAAAAAAAATAGATAGGTGGTCTTTGAAATTTAAAAATATAGTATTTTATTTTATTAAAATTATCATGTATAAAATTATACAATTAAGTGGTTGATAATTGCCCTAACGATGTGGGTGCCTACGAAATAAACGAAAGAACTCCTCCCCTTGTTATATCCACTCCTGGTTGGCCTATCGCGGATCCGTACAAATTGGCTAAATGTTATTGGGTCTTTAATGTACAATTAAACATATTTTTGATGATATTTATGTAAAATTTTGATTGATATTAATAAAACTCTAATCGGATGAATTATTAGGAAAAAAATTCCTAAAATAAAACAGATAAAAAGACAAACTCCGGAATATCCCCTCCACAAATTCCTAAGAAACTTAACGTTTTTAATACTATCAACAAAAATGATGTTCGGTAAAAAAACTGATATTCTTAGCTTTTACTAAAGCTTATTTTCTAAGGCTTGATGTAGGTTAGGGTAAATCTAGTCTTTATGATAAGGATTGGATTATATTAATTAATATTCCTTATAAAATTTTCTAATGATTTTTTTCGAGATTCCCGGGTTTTTTATTCTGTTAAAAGTCTAATTTTTAGATTAAACAAAGCAACATTTTTTATTGTGAAATTTAATATTATACTTTTTAGGCATTGTGCACTAATAATTCAAGAGGACGGTTACAAGTGGAGGTAAACACGACGGCATTTGGATTATTAAAATTTGATGCGGGTGGACAATGTTTGCATTGGTTGGAAATTAAATATAAAATAGATCAGGGTTCAACTGGTTTAAGGTAATCTATAAATTATTCAATCTAAAATAATTTAATTCGGCATTTTATAAGTGTTTTTCTTAAATAAAAAAATATTTTGGTGATGGAAAGGAGGGGAGGGGGATTTCTCATTATATTAAGCGTCCTGAGAGTGTTTCCTCTCCTATCTACGTCCAAGGTGTTGAGCCAAATCTAATGAAAAACTTAAATTTATAATTTAATAAATTTTTCTTATCGAACTCTTCATTCAATTTAAACTTTTTAAAATTATATATACATATAGTCAATATGTTTTTTCCGGCTTATTTTTTCAACTTTAAATAGTTTTTGAGCGCGTTTTATTAAATTTAAAACTTTGATTTTATCCGAAATATATTCTATCATGTTTGAAATAACTACTCTAAAAATTTCAGACAATTTCGCTATGAACTTTAGAACTTAATATAATTTATATTAGTTTTTCCATAGATTTTTTAAATTAATTATGAATGACTCAAAGGTTAACGACAAAAATGTCCACAATTTATAAGAAAGATATTCTAAACATGCTAGAATATATTTCGGGTAAAATAAGATCTTTAAATTTAAAAAAACACGTTCAAAAAAATGATTTAAAGTTGAAAAAATAACATATTGTCCAGGAAAAACACATAGCCGCTAAAATATATACTAGAGATCTGCAAAAGTAGGCCCGGCCACGGGCTTCGGGTCGGACCTAACTGTTTTAAAAAATCGGGTTCGAGCAGGATCGGCTCTAATAGTTTTAAAATAAAAATCGGGCTGGGTAGGGTCTTGGAAGTTTTTTAAAATATATTTAAATTTATCAATTTTATATTGAATTTTTTATGTAAAATAAAATATTGATTTTATTTAGAACTAGATGCCATATATCATATGTCTTCTGAGTAATGATAAAAATTAATTTCTATATTTAAATAAGTTCGGGCCAGGCCGATAACTTAAAAAAAATTCAGGTTCGGGCCTGGCTGGCTAAACTTTTTAGAAAAAGTTTCGGGTTCGGGCCGCCGGCAAATCATTTTTTAAAAAAAAATTCGAACTAGGTTGCGCTTGGAAAATTAGGCCCGATGCAGATCACTAATATATACTCCTCTTTAAATTATTAACATGATTTAAAATATTTAAAAATAAATTATACAGATTTATACATAGGTTATGCTATTTAAATTGTAATTTCTTAATTCTTATTCATTTTTATATAAAGAAATACAATTAATTTTTTTAAATTGTCTTTTGTATTTTTAAATTTTAAAAGTTTAAAATATTTTAGATCAATTAAAAAAAATGTTGATTAATTTTAAAAAAATTAAAACTTATAAAAACTGGAACGAACAGAAGTGATGCTGAACCTGAAATCGATTTTATAAAATATAACGAAACTAAATATTTTTAAAATTTTAAACAGAAGTGAAATGGAACTGAACTGTTATTAACAGTTCGACACCTTGGCTACACGTCACTGCTTTATATATTTAAGTTATAATAAATAATAGATGGATATTTTTTTAAAAAAACACGATATACTGGAAAAATATGAATAAAAAATTTCATATTAAATTTATAGGTTTGTTGCCAATGGGGAGAAGAGGGTCAAAATTACCCCAAACCTGATCCCTCAGTAAAAATTTGGCCTACTAAATCTAAATGATAAAACAAAATTCTTAGAAAAATTGTGATTATTCAAATTTTATTTAGCCAAATTACTTGAATAAACAAAAATACTTATTAAAATATTGTTATAAAATATCCAACTCATTAATCAATAAATGAAAAAACAACAAACAATATCCGGCAGAAAGATACTAGTGTTAGAGAATACGTTTAGAATACTTCTCAACCTCTTTTAGAAAGGTAATCAATGTTAGCGAGTTTTAATTAATTAAATAATTTAAAAAAATTTGCAAACTATTTCCTACTTATCACGCAATGGTACTTAAACGTTAATTTGAATAATACATTAACCAATTAATAATATTTTTAATAAATTTAAAGAGAACGAAAAACTTACATGAAGAGGACGAATATTCTTACATGAAAAGAACGAATACATTTTTAAAAATACCTATTTCCTAGTGAAGTTTAAGATATTAAAAATGGGAAATTACTTCTCTTATGTGATCATATTTATATAGTGCTGTAAACGTTACTACAAAAAAGAAACGCGTTACCATTACTCGTTACATCTGAAAAGGGAACGCGTTACAGTTACTCGTTACCTTTTCAATAAAGGAACGCGCGTTACCGACTTTTCAAAAAAGTAACTGGCTACTCGTTACTTAAAAAATTAAATATAATATTTATTTTTTCCGACTATAATAAAATAAAACTATACAAAAAGATTAAAAAATTTTCATATATATAATTATAATATAAATAATAAATAAAACTTTGGGTGTTCCTTTCAATTTTTATAAAAAACTTTTAAAATACTATAAATCTATTTTAAAAAAGAAATAAAATTTAGAAGGTATTGTGCATTTGCATTTTTTAAAAAAAATTATTTAGATAACATAAATAACAAAAAAAAGAAAAGTAAAAAAATCGAATCGGGGTTTTTCACAGGTATCGGCTAGATCCGATCCGATATTTAATATCGGCACAGCCTTATTTATATTTTAATTCCATGATTAAGCTTTTCAAAATATTATGAAAGAATATTATTCTATTATTAAAGTAATGTTTAAAATGATATTAATTCATCTTTTTACCTATGCTTTTTTAAGTTTGTACTTCTGGATATTGAGGTTGAAATATTTGCGTTGAGATATAATTTACATTTACAAAGTGTAGACTTGGTACCATTAATTTTCTTTATTGGTTTAAAATATATCAAATTGGTGCCAAGGAAGGGTTAAATCATCTTCATCTGAAGAAGTAAGTACTATGGACATAATATTCTTAAAATAAATTATAAGAATAATAATATCATTATTAACATTTACTTTGAATTTTGATAGATTATTAATTTCGAAAGAAAATTTAACAACGAGAATTTAAAATAAAAATGAAGGAAGTGGTTGATATGAATTAAAACTCAGCTTAAATTATTAATATTAAGAATTAAAAAATAAATAAAACTAATTTTATAATACAATAAAAATATATTTTTCTTTTTGTTTATATTTTTTAAGAAAAAATATAAAGTAACGAGTAAAGTTTTGCGCTACCATTACTTAAAAAAAAGAAACGCGTTATCGTTACTCTTTACATCAAGAAGATGGTAACGAATGGCGTTCCTTTTCTTCAAAAAAGTAGACGTTACTTCACGGCACTGTATTTATATTAATTATGTATCAATAAATATCAAATATTAAGATAATATCTTAAAAATTTAAGGAGGGCGAAGATTTTTATGAAAGGACAGATTTTTAAAGAGGACGAATATTTTTTTAATTTTTTAGAAGGGTGTAACTAAATCACCAGAAGTCAAGCAAGCAGCTTACATTGTAATTACTTATTTACACCCATAATATTTAAGCATAATGTTAGTTATTCAATATTTTATTTTTGACGTTATATTTCCAATTGTTTAGAAAGTCGATAAAAGATAGACGAAAACAAAATTTATGGCATATAAAAAAAATAAACCGAAATATATCTTTTAGTCCATTTATGTCAATTCAAAAAACAAAATCGTCATATTGTATAATAGTAATATTTTATATTTACAATTCCCATTAAAAGGCAAATCGTCATTTCTCATTTATAATTAAAATATTATATTATATCGTATATATTTATTTTTTTAAATTATAAATAACATTAATATAAACTTCAAAAAAATATAATATGTATATGTGATTTAAAATAGTTACAAAATACATTTATATTATAAAGATTGTGCGGAATTGTCCCGAGAGAAGTTGCTGTTACATCTCAGAGAGATAGAATGGCTATCATATTTGATGCAGATAGAGACTCAAGTGTAACTGAAGCTCCATCAGTTCCACTCGGTAAAGGGTTCAGGATAAAAGTATCGCTAGGTAACTATAATTATTGTCATTTACACTAATCCTTAAATGAATATCTTTTTGATGGATTATGAAAACATTTTCATACATGAAATCTTTAGCTAAATGAAAACGGATATTATTTTTTGATAATATTTAATTATTTATTTTGAGTAAGAAAACTGTTATCGCTATGTACTCTTTAATTTTTTGCCTAATACTAAAATAAATTTTAGGAAAACATCACCAAAAACTCAATAATGTTGGTGTAAATACAATATGGAAGATGGCTATATATTTTTTAAGAGTTCGGTTGAACTGATAATGAAGAGTTAGATAGTGCTGAAAAACCCACGTATAATCAAAAGCAAATAGGAAGCTTGGACCAAGATATTAAGCTGACTCCATCCGATCTTTTGATAAAGGATTTTGTGGGAGAATATATTTGGAAACAACCCTGATTATCTTTATCTGAAACCGAATCTGAACTGATATTTGTTTCGGTTTGAATCCCTGATAAATACTGACCATAGTAAAAAATACTGGCAGCTTTGATAACTCTTTCTAGCCATTCATAATCAGATTTTTAATTCAGTAAGAGTTGAATAGAATATTGCTTTAATGAATTACTCGAAAATTGACAATTACTTTCCCCATTTTAAATAGCATCTTATAGATTAGGATCGAGACGGCTAGGCAATAAACTTTCCAAAGAAAGCCTCTGCCTCCATTTTTGCACTAGAAGTTGGGTTAAGATTTATCTGCAAATTTTATTTATAAAATAGATTCAAGATGGTTTTTATTTATATTTCATGCTTAAAAATGAGTATACTTTGTAAAGATTGGGATGGATCTCATTTGTATAATCTTGGGTATGTTAAAATAAATTTTTAGCAAAAATCCCGAGAAGCTTGTAATTCGTGTAAAATTAATTATTTATAATAGATAAGAAGGTTTGGCATATATACATATCCAGGATTTTCGTAATGGGGGAAGGGGTTTCTATCCACGAGAATTTTATCAAGCATTCTTTTTTTACAAGAGGGTCAGATGTGTAAAACTTTTGTTTGGCTTGTTATAATCTTCGAACCTTCATCTAATTTTAATCTTTATCCTGTATAATAACATATCGCAGATGTTTTTCTACTAAATTATTGCGATTATTTCTCATTGGGAAGATGGACATTCAAATATTTGTTATTTTAACCATTGAAGACTTTTAGGGCAAAATAATTAAATACGGAATTTTTTTTAAAAAATATTTTAAAACATTTATAAATACGAAAGAGTTGGTATTCCTATTATATATAAATTGATTCAATTAAAATTTTCAATTTTGGAACTTATTTTAAAAATAAAAAAGTACCCAATTCCTGCATTAGAAGGGAAAACAGAGCCGGTCTATTTGGACCTTGGGGAGGATGGAGTCCATGTAATCAACCGTGTGGTGGGTGTGGAGTTCAAGTTAGATATAGGAGATGTCTTAGGAATTGTGTTTTTGAAAGGTATACATTATATTTTAATTTTTTCAAAAAAATTACGCTTAAAAAATAAAATTATTTTAACATAAAGTATAATATAAAATATGCATTAGAGGCAGGGTTAACAGCAGGAGTGTATTACGTGGGAGGCTATGAGAAGCTAAGCCCCCCACCGCTAATATTTTAGTTCCCTTTCCAAATTTTGAGGAAACCCAACCTCCACGACAATTTTTTAAACATTTTTTCAAGTCTTAAATTTGAATCTGTTTTCTCTTTATTATTGTTATAAAAATATTAGTCAATTTTTTTTATAGCCACATAGAAAATAAAGCAAAAAGATTTATTTTTCAATATTTTTATTCTTATAGAAATTTAATATCGCCGCCGCTTCTGCATTATATAAATTATAGAAGGTTCACCATCAACAAGTATAGGTGAAAAATAACTTCATTTTAGCAGGTTTTGAGCAAGCTCTAGTAAAGCTAACCCGAATTTTTAAGCGAAAACTATCATCTCGGCCTCGCTCGGGTTTAAAACTTAAAGGATAACTCAATCTTGAAAAAAATGTACCTTGCCTCAAGGCTTAGCGAATTTTTTGATGTTAGGATTATGCCAATTTAATAATACTAAAGGCAAAAAATAGTTCAAATTTAATAAAATCTCTTAGTAATTTAAATAGGAATTTGAAAATTTTAAATAACTAGGTTATTAGTTAAGATTAATCAATTTACTTTGAAAGAAATAATAAATTAGGGTATTTTCGGCATTCTTTAGCCAATGAACCATTTTTAATTGACTAATATTTTATAAATAAATCATTGGGAACATGTTGACAATAATAAAATATTATATAGGCCGCGTCTACATTCATTGGAATAAACACCCTCCAAAATAAACCCCTACCCCCCCCTCCAAAAAAAAATCCGCAACCTTCCTATCCACTTTTCATGTAGACGCCATATGTAGGTAAATATTTACAGTTGTCGCTTTATTCAGAAATTATTCTTTTATTTAAAAATATATCATTAAAAAATTCAAAACTTGTAAGATAAAAAAATAGACTAATTTATAATTATTCTAGAAAATACACGCCGTCTCGCTTAATGGATAGCAGAAATACTATTTGCACGGCCTTGATATTTTTTTAAAAAAAATTTGGGCCCAGCCCGGGTTTTATATTTTTAAAATATATGGCCGGCCGGGTAATTTTTTTATAAAAAATTTTGAGGCCCGGGATATGTTAAAAAATTAAAATACGGCCTGCCCGTGTATCCGGGCCAGATCTCTGATGTAGCTTTGAAAACGAGGGTAAAATAATTTGAATCAAATTATTTTTTTTATTTTAAATATTCTTCCCAATATATTTATTCAAAAATAAAATTGGCCTATAGATGCGGCGAGAAGTAAATAAAGAATCTAACAAAGATTGAAAGTTAATGAATATGAAACGATTGCTTAGCTTCGAAAATATATCGATGAAGATTAGTGATAAAAAAAAATTTCTTAGCTTTGTGTGTTGAGTGTAAAAGGGGCTTTCATCTTATGATTTTGATCATGGTTGATAATCGAGCGAGTTTAAGAGTAAATAATTTGCCAAATTTAATGTTCATAAATATTAATGGATTTAATCAGAATGGCTTCCAGAGTGAGCCGATTTTTAAAAACGACCCGATCAAGATTCTAGCCAAAATAATATTGTGCAGGCCTCGAGATTTGGCAAATGGAGGTCCATTTTCTGTCACCTATGAGTAAAATCTCCAAGCTCACATAAAATTATTTTGGCTAAAATATTAATCGAGTCTTTTTTAAAAATAGACCCAAATCGGGTGTAATAACAAATCCCAGATTCATGTATCAAAATATGAAAATGAATCATCAAGGGAGAATGAAAACTTTTTATATAAAAATACAACCCAAAAATAACGATGCAAATGAAAGATTTATGAAATTATTTTAAAATTAATATTTATATATTTTAATTTCTATAGATATCGGTGGTATTTTGTGACCTAGATTTTAAAATATAATATAATAAAGCATTTATTTATAAAATTTTACACATATTTTTGTAAAATTTTTTAAGCAATACACCACTGGTTGCCAGATTCTTTCAAACAAAAGGTGGGGAAAAAATTATTTTAATAAATTTTTATATAAATATGCACAAATAAGTGTACAGATCATTACATAAAGTAAATCTTATGCATATTTTTTTTAAATCAAGGTTCCGCACAGTCATAGATTCAATATCCTTCTATTTCTCCAAGTCTAATAAAATATTTCTAAGTTGATTTGAAACTCCTATTTCTTAATTAAAATAGCGCAGTATTATTGGTGTTTAAATAAATTTTAAGCATTTAAAATTTTATTTAAAAAAATCTTGAGAAAGCCTACAATCTATTTTATAAAATATCGCTAGAAAGCGTAAATTAATGGATGGCATATTTTAGCGTAAACAAGAGTAAAAAAATCGCGAGGTCTGAAAGGTCGGTTCGGGCAAGAATTTTCGGACCAGACCAAAAAAGATATGTCTTGTGCAAAATATCTTTGCGGGCCGAAATTTAGTAAGTTCTTTGTAAAATTTATGTCGTTTTCCTTCATAAAAAATTATTAAGAGCTGGACAACTACTACAAAATTATTTTACAGACTGTGAAAATATTTAAAGGGCCGAAAAACTTTTTTAAAAATTTCTACGACTCTAATATGCATTACATTAGTGTCTACAAAATTTTTTTTTAGATAGATTCCATTTTTTTCCAAATTTCATATAGAATTTCCCTTTTCTTTTTTCCTAATTTTAGATATTTAGTTTATTCCCTAATTTTGAAAAAAAATAATTTTAAGTGAGTTCTCTTCTCTCACCAGCCATCGCATCACATTAAAATAGTAAAACATGATTTCAAGATTAAATTATTACAGGTTTGTAGGAAGTATTAAAAACAACATTAGGAAAAACATAGATCTGTAATGCTTATGGTGAGAGGGTGGGGTATCAAAAAAATAATAAACCATTTTAAAAATTTATAGAGCCGTATTTTTTAAATGTTTAAGGACTTTATTTTGCCGGGGGAGGTCCCAGCCTAAGAATTTATTATAAAATTATTTTGTCATTTGAGAAGCAAAAAGATAACGTTATTAATTGTTATTTCTAATTTTGAGAATCTGTATATAAATCTGGAGGTTATTTCAAGATATTGACATTTATAACGGTATTCAAGACATCTCAGTAAGTTAGTCCATAAGTGATCACCTCCTTAATCGGTCAAAAAAAAATAGCTGAATATGATTCCTTTATTTTGCAAATATTTGAAATGAAGAGATTGTCCGTGCAGACCAATTGAGACTCAATATAGGCAATGCAATCCATATGTGTGTGATACAACGGGAACTATTCCATATGACTGTTTCGATATTCAAATAGGGTAGCCAACATTATTTTTTAATATAATCAACCAAGTAATTATTTAGATAAAAACCTCGTAAAACCTTTCAAATTTTAAATTTAAATAAATATAGTTTAGACCAAGAACCTCGACTCAGAAGGTGTTTCACATTTCAACCATGTTGTCAAGGATACTTACCGTTCAACTCAGTATGCATGCCAAGAAATCTATTTTTCACTTCATCATTGTCATTGTAAATTCCGTAATACCGAATTATATTAAGTTTTATTGTATAAGAAAATACATTTAGTTGTAAAATAAACGAAAATAATCTCTTTTTTTACATTTGTGCTAAATCCTAGTATGATTTTATTTAAAGTAAAAACTAAACTTTTTTTGTATCGTTTAACATCGTCAAACTATTTCATTTTCGAAATTAATTGGTGTCAATGTCAAAAAATAAATATAGTTTCTTAATTAAAACAATTGTGCTAGGACACAGTCTTATAATCAATTTAATACAAGTCGATGATACATATATTTTGTTTTTTGTGATATTATTTTCAAATTAAATAAATATAATATTATGTATAATAGGAGTTACCTATGTGCATTATGTATAAATATAAAATTTATACAAATATATATTGTATATAATAAAATTTCTTTAAAACCCATTTAAATTGATTTTTGGTATAATTTAATTTTATATAAATTATTAATTTTTATCTATCAACCTGATACGATAATAATTGCATTTTAATTAAATTTTATATAATTTTTATGTCAATAATAATAACTGTAAAACAACTGAAACAACTAAACATTACAAAAAAAAAGATTATTTCAACCATGAGTTATTAGGTTGTCATATGTAGCTTAGATATTGGCGCAGAACTTGGGGTACGGGTAAATTTAATGTAGCATTATCGATATAGCGATTCCTCTGCTCAATCCTCTTGAGCGTCATTGTCAGTTCTTTTTCGTTGCGTTTTTTAGCTAGAATTTGCTTACTTTCCGCGATGTCGTGGTCATTTATGTTAAACTCCATCATCCGCGGAAAATCAACGATTTGTATGCTATAACTACGTTTAGATTTGTTGATATGGGTATGAAAATTTAAGATACGATTACTGGTCGAATCACATATAGAAGCTTTTTCGTCGAGACTGCTTTGGACCATATCTTTAGGTGTGAAAGCGCAGGGATGAGCGACTTGCGGAAGGTGTAAAATGGAATGTTGAGTCTTTGAGTGATAATCCTCGTGCAATAACTTGCGCACGAAATATCTGCAGATTTCTTTTAGAGGCATGGGATTAATATAAATATACGATTGTGATAAAACATCTTTATTTTTATTGCCTTTTCTTTCATTTTTAGTGCTACCCGTGATATATTCATTTATGCATTGTGGTATGAAAGAGGGTCCAAAATTTTCCATCAATTCTTGAAAAACTTCGGGGAGTATTAGAGGCGCAAAGCAAACGGGCATTATTATGTCAGATTTCCATTCATCAACCGCTGTTCGGTTTATACATATAAGCTGTAAATAAAATAGTAAAATTTATTGTTTACTTTTTTAATAAAGTATATATCGTGTATACAGGGCGTACTCATAACTATGACGCGGAGTTTGGGGATCCGGCTTATTCATGTTGATTTTATGCAATATAAGTAAATCATTAAAAAAAATGAATGTCATTTTATTTATATCTAAATATAAAATTAATAATCAATCTGGGTTTTAGCAAATTTTTTTAACTTAAATCATTAATAATAGTCAGCGTTTTTTATTTTGAATAACCTGATTATTCCGGAATTGCATTCCAGCATGTATTGTAAGAGTGCTCTCCCTCTAAATTTAAATAATTTTATAGTAAAGTTTTAAACTACTATTATTTTATACTAATTTTGATATCATATTATATATTTATTAATATTCAAAAAATACATAAAAATTCATAGGATATGTAGCTGGAACACCATTTCGGCAAAATTGTTTTTAAATTTTTTTAAAAAATTCACGCTATGATTATAAGTTATAAAAATTTGGTAAAACAATGGAGCAAAGCTCTTAAAATGTGTGTCCCTTGATGCCCCTCTAAGTTAAAATTCTTGGCTAACGGTCGACTGTACTTAAAATTTTACAAAAAATGAGATAGTATTTAAAGTATACTATTATAATACTTGATCTCTGGAAGGCAACACTAAAATACCGCCGACTTTAATCAATCGTTTAAGCAATTCTTCCATGTTTAAAAGGCAAGTGGCGCCGCAGTAGATTCTATCGTATTCTTTCATAAGTTTTGTTTTATCGCGCGTGTCATGGTTATACTTCGCCTTTAGATCGCCATTGTCATCTCTGTAATTCAAGGTAAAATCTGGAATAAAAGACGATATTAGAATGTCGATAACATTTCCGTGAATGAAAGTAGGTTGGCAAAAATCTTCGCAACTTATGACTGGAAATTTTGTTGTATTCTCGTGATTATCAGTGGTGTTATCGCTGTTAGAGCTATCGTGGCCGGAGTGAAACAAATCGTGGTTTATAAATGTTTTTATAGGCAAACAAGAAAATGAATGGTTGTAGCACAGAGTAGATCGACGTTTCTTGGAAGAGCCGCTATAATATATGAGATCATTGGTAGATGTAAGATAATGCGCGTTTGGGCGGTAATTTAAAATATCTCGTTTAAAATTTTCTATATTGAATTGAGAGAACTCAATCAGGTCTTTAAAAATTTCCACTCCGTGATTTACACCAAAAGGTCCTTAGTTTATAGTGAAAATGTAAATAAAAAGTAAATAAATATTACAAGAAATTATCATTTTCAAAAAAATTAGTATGTCATTCAAATATGGGTTAAAATTTATTAGACCAAAACAATTATTAGGAAATTAAACCGCCCCCCCCCTCTCCTTTAATTTTAAAATTTGCTTCAATACTAAATCATATTTCTATGAATATTTATTGAGATTATAATAAATAACTGAATTCTAAAGGGATTAGTAAAATCTTTTAAAAATTATTTTATAAATTGTGTAAACAACCTTGACAAAATAATATAATATAACATTCAAAAATGACTTTGTTTAAAAATTTTCCACCAGTTATTGTAAAATAGATTATAATTGGAGTTTGGAACCTCATGAAAAAGAGTTTTGGTTCTGATTTTGAATTTTTTAAAAGTGGTTCTAGTTCAGGTTCCTAAATTTGACTTGGTTCCAAAACTTGCAGGTTTAAATTCTGTATAGAGCAATCATATTAATAAATAAACTCTCTAACATGAATTATAAAACATTTTAATTGCACTTATGTTATAACCATTTCTTAGAAATTTTAAATGAATTCTGGTTTCAAACTCTGGATATAATAAGTAACAATTTTCTTAAATCTGAATTGGTAATCAACCATGTTTCTACCATAAAACTTGTTTAGCCATGTTAAACTAGTGTGCAAGGGAGCACCAGAAGCAAAAGGATAATTGTAATTTCTATAAAAATATTTTATTTATTTTCATTGTTCTTTGTATTTAAACTGTTTTCCTTGAAGAGCAAATTGGAAACTATAAATTTCTGTTTCTGATTCTTTTTTTTTGTCCAATTTTGGTTTTATATATTTTTAAATTAAAGAAATTTTATAAAATTTGGCAAAAAAATATAAATAATTTTTTTTTGATTAACTAAATAATTTTTTTTTGATTAACTAAATAATTTTTGCCTTTGGTCCAAGCCTTAATAGTTACTATATTAACATTGCATATTACTCTATTTTTATAATATTATAAACTCTTTGTTAATTCCATGTATACCATACAAATGATTCATGTAAACTCTAAATCCAATATACATATCTTCTTTTTCAAAATGAACTTACTATTACTATCAACATTAAAGGCCTTAATCAAAAATTCCAATAACCTGAAATTCATTAATTTTTATAAAATAATGTCATAAAAAATTTATTTGCCCATATTCCTTAATAAATTTGTGCTCCTGATAAGAGGCCTTAAACAGGCAGGTTGTTCTTAAGTTCTAAGTAATGGGTGTGTGAGTACGTAAAAAATATTTTTTAAAAATTGAGGGGATTAATATATTTTATGAATAAGATGGACATGCATAGGGCAAGTAAGCATGTATTTATTATATGTAAAACTTTTGTTGGAATAATGCATATTACTTTTTCAGTTGTAAATATATATTAAATATTTTAAAAAAATCAAAAATAAATAAACAAATTAAATTATTTTTAAAAAATAAATGGGAAATAAAATATATTTTGTATAATGGGCAGGTCAAATTCGATATGGGAAAAAATCTAGAAAATGGCAGGCTTGTTAGATAAATTCAACTACTTTGAGTTTAGTAACTAGAATATTGTTGAGAACATTGCCATTATGGTGTGCCCATACTTTATTTATCAGATTAAATTTATAAAAACTAAACTAATTTGTCAATTAGAATATGTGGTCCTATTTATATATATAAAATAATATATGTTATATTATAGCTATCAATAATTAAGAATAAATTTAATATTAAAAATATGAATTTCAAATTACTTTAAAAATGAGCTATTAATGATAGATTTACTAACATATTTTTATGTAATTTTTAAAAATTGACACAATTTTTGCATTAATAAAATTAAATAAAAAATTGTACCAGGTTTAACAATGTTATAAGATATTAAAAATAGAACATGATTTAGCTGAATCACAAAAATAATTAAACTGACAAATATTAATATAAGATATATTTATATCATATTAAAATTATATTGGGCCAGAATATTTTTTAAACCTTAAAATATGTTTAAATTTTAGAAAAATCATTTTAATCCAAAGTACTAAAACTTTATTTATTATATATCTAACAGACTACCTAATAAAATCCCAGCAATAGTTGATAAGTATCCAGTTCCACTTCCAATATTTAAAAAACTCATTTTGTGTTGGATGTTGAGAGCTTCAATTATTTCAGAATAAATGCATGGGGCTGAAATATGAATATCCCCATGTTTCCAAGCCATGTCCATATAGGCATTGTTCACAAAATCTTTGGGGAAAAAATATGAACGATCAACAATCCTAAACGCCTCTTCAATGTTAAAGTTTCTGATAAATTTTGCTTTGACTAAATTATCAATTAGTTCATCGTTATTTTTACCAGCGCTAACCGCCCCTCCCATTGCTTGTTAAGATTTTTCGAAATAATTTTTTCATTTATATTTATAAAAAGAAAAGGTCAACAAAATTATCTTTTCATTTCATTGTCAAGGTCTCTTAAGATAATTAAAAACAGATGTATAACTAAAATAACCTACATTTTTCGAAAATAATGTTTTTTGATTGATAATGTCATAAGGGATGACAGTGATTGAGCATAAATTATTTTATAATGGTGGTTTTTTTAGCGTTTATACAATTACAATGCAAATTCTGAATAGTGTAAAGCACTATAGAATTTATTAAGTTATAAATATTTTTTATAGTTAAAAAAACGGACATACGATAATTAATTTTGTCTCCAAACATCGGTAATAATAAATATAAAATATTGTAAAATGATATTTGATATTGTTGTAGTTTCCATATTTTCACTTATATTTTATTTGAAAAAGTATTTATTTAACAGATGTATTAATTTCAAAATAGGTGTTTGTATATTTTAAACATTAAAAAGAAATTGTAATGATAACTTTACTATTCGTAAACTTTTTATGTTTGAATTTATTTTAAAAGAATAATAAGAAAAGAGTTTTATAATAATAGCACTACTATCATAACTACTGCAAAATGATACAGTATATTTCCCTTTACGATCAAAATGGGGGAGAAAAGGCCACTGTACCAAAGATAGTATTGAGAAGGAATTAGATTTCTATTAAAATCATTTTTCCCTAACAGCTATATTATCTATGCCTTTCTTCGTTAATATTCTTTGTAAGAAATTAAATTTTAAATTATCTAAAGATATTATGTTGAAGAAATTAAATTTCTATCAAAATCATTTTTCGGTAATTATAATATTATATATGCCATGCTTTACTGGTTTTCGCTGGATTTAAAACCTTATATAAAATTATTCAAAAATATCTTAATAATATTTTATCGCTAATATTCTTTGGCAGAAATTTTATTTTCAGCGGGAATTAAAATTATCTAAATAATTTTTAGGAGATCAATACTTGAAAGTATGCAATAATAATATTAATTATTGATAATAATGAGAAAGATGTGCGTGAGAATTTTTATATAATTGTTTATATCATATTTTGAATTCTTCTTAAAATTTGCAGCATTAAAGTGGCCGAAGTGTCAAAGAAGATATTTGTGGTAATAAATAGAAAGTAGAAAAAGGAAATCGAGCATTCATTCATTCAATTCATTATGATTTTTTAATTTGAGTATTACTTTTACTTTTTAATTTTGTTTAACACTATTTTGATATACGGATTTTAGTTATACATAATAAAGGGTAATCTTATAATTATTTTTAATATACTTTCTTTATTTTCTTATATGGCATATATATTTAAATAACATATAACGGAGTAAAATATAATGAAATACTATAATAATATATTCTACCAGATTTTAATTGGTGAAATATAAAATTCACGCTTTTACGATAATATGATGAAATATTAAATAAATATATTCTATTCTTTATTATTGGGGAAATGTAAAATTTACGGTATGAAAGACACATTGTAGTCGGATGAAATTATATAATATGCTTTATTATTATTCATGAATCAAAGGGCGTCCTCCTATGAACAAAAAAAAAGCTGCATTTCTTATGGGAAGTTCGTAACAATGACGATTTCAATCGTCATCGTCATCCTACGAATAATAAGCCGAATTTCTTAGTTCTTAGAATAAAGTCGTTAAAGATAAAATATTTTAGACGATAATTTTATAGACAGCCAGGTTGAGAGGATTGTTTAAATATATAGTTTGGAATAATTGAAAATGACCTATATTATAGTTTTCAATTTAGTGTGAAACACTTTTATGAAGGATATATTATGTCTATACAGATTGATTTAATTTCTTTTTAAAATATTAAGAGGGTAGTATAAAGAATTAACCAAATAGCTATGCTTTATACACAGGCTCAGTGTTTCTAAAAAGCTCAATTTGTGTAGATTTTTAAAAACGGGCTAATTAAGATTTCTGTGAAAATAATATCATGGAAGCAGGGGCGTCGCTAGCTTTTACAATCTCAGGGGGCTCAACTAAAAAAAATTTTATGGGGGGCTTCGCCCCCATTTCCCTCAATTTGTCGCTTTTGCCCGGCCTTCGGCCGTGTTTTATATTAATAAATTATACCTTTTTAAAATTTGTTAACTCTGAACAATTATTCTGAATTTCATATTTTGTCAATTATTATATTATGCATACATAATAAAACTGGCATATAAATAACAATTAATGGTTTTAAAAACAACATAATGCAATAATATAATTCTTAGCAACTTACATTGACAAAAGGTTATCAAACTAATATAACTCTCTGTTACCATTTTAGACAATGTTTTATAGAATGGATTAATAAGGAAAAATTTATAGGCCTATACTAAATCAACAATTTTTGAAAAAGAGAGTATAAACGACTAATCCAAATTATAAAACTATATGGTGGTTAGAGTTTCCTTTTAGATGATATGATGGAAGCTAGATAAGTAATCGAGAAAATTATGTTGAGATATTAAATTTCTAAAAGATTATCTTCCATTTTAAATGATATACAAACGACTACACAGTTGACCATTATTGTTTATCTAAAATATGAAACCATATGCTCTCAGCCGTTATAGTAATAATCTTAAATTACATAGCAACACAAATAATAGATGCTGGTAAATTTGCGGTAATAGCAATGACACTCACAATGTAAACTAATATCAGAATGATAAAATAAAAACACTAAAAATCTTTGGAATAAATAATAAATTAGGTAAATTAATTTGATTTGATAATGCCTTATAAAAATTGGAAAAAGAAGCCTTGATAGAGATTTATCATGAATGGTAATGTGTTTTAAAAATATTATTATGGATTAATAACCGACAGGTAATTATTATGTTTTAATCTTGGAAACTTATTCGAGAGAAATCTTGTCTTGTGATTAATTTATTTATATTATATGACCAATGCCGGCCAAAAGGGGGAGTCAAGGGGACAGATGCCTTATAGCATTATTTTGATTTTTTTCAGAGTGGGAGATTCGAAAATGCAAATTAGAATTTTCCAAAAATTTGTTAAAAAATGTTTTTCTATTTAATTAAAATTTGAATTTTTTAAAATATAATAACTCTTTTTTTTATTTGGTGTTTATATTATAGTTTATTAAAATACATTTAAAAACGTATTTAAAAATGTTGAAATAATTTTTTTAAAAAAAATATTTGTTTATAAGATAAAAAAAAGATAATTTAAGAATATAAAGAAATTAATAGAGATTATAGAGAAAAAGTTATAGAAAAATTATTAAGAATTTCTTTAAAATTTTTCAGTAGCAAATCAATATAAGATGAGATTAAAATTTGGAGAATATATTTTTTTATAAAAAAGGTTTTAAAGCGATTTTGGGAAAATAAAATAAATATTTGTTTATTAGATAGTAACAAAAAGATTATAAGAATATAAAGAAATTAATAGCTATTATTAATAAAATGTTACAGATAGTTTATTGAGAATATCTTGAATATTTTTTTAGCAATCTTAATCAAGGATTTAGATAATAAAGCATTAATTAGGGATATGAAACTTATTATCGTCTAAAATTAAAGAGAATTTAAAAAATTTAGTTTTAGGATAATGACGAAGCGTAGTAGATTAGATATAATCTTAGGAATATTTACTTGTTTCTTTGTGTTATGCTATATGATTGTCTTTCCTTCATAGGAAAGTGAGCCACAATCATACTTATTTAGATCTCGGAATATTTCTTTAAATATTTATAAGATTAAGACACAATGTAGCACACGAATGGTTAGCGGAAATGAGAAACAAACATTTATAAAAGCGCATTCATAGCACATAAGATATAAAGAAGTTGTGTTTTAGTTATTAAGGGTTGATAATTTCTAAGATTATCAATTATAGAGAGGTTTATGGTAAACTTAGAAACAAGCGGAATCTAACTGAGACTATATAATCGTAACCGGGTGGGGGGGGGCAGGGGAAATTATGTCACATTTTGTGAATATATTTTGAAGTTAATAAAAATATCTTACCTAGCCCGCTCCCCCTTCCTGTCTCTCAAAAATGTATGCATGCTATGTTTTTGTATTAACATGTATATGTGTATTTTATTATATTTTATACAAACTAATAAAAATATATTTCCTATTCATTCGAGACTTAGCTTATTATTTGATATTAATTCTTGGTGACCAATTTAGTATAATTTAAATAATGATAATTAGTTTTTTTTATGAAAATTAACCTTCTATCCTGTAAAAATATTTTCTAGCTATATATAGGCTAAGGAACCCGGCCGAAGATCAGGCAAAAGTGGGCTGAAGGCCCACTAAAAAAGGAGTCTGCGGGCAAAATTCTTCAAATATTTATCAATCCACCCATTAGGGAAATCTTGACTACGCTACACCTATGTGAAACTATAATAAGTTTTAGATAAAATTACTATAAATTATTAGGTCATAAATCATTAAAAATAACTGTGGCAAATTTTTTAAAAAATATTATTTTTAAAAATGCTGATATAGTGCAATTAAATAATTTAAGACTTGGCTTAAAAAAAATACTATAATTGTAAATATTCCGAGAATAAGGTGTTAGAGACTAAAATGAATATGCAAATATTAGTAGATCAGATGGGAATTAATTCTTATTAAAGACATTTAACATTAATTTAAGGGCTGCTAGAAAAAAAACAGGTTTATGGTATGGGCATTAGATACTCCTAAATTTATAATATTTGAGTAAATATTAAGTTGTTGATTGACAAAATCTTTAAAAAAGAAATGGGTCATCATTTAAGAAAGTATGCCTCATCGAGCTCAATTATAGATCGGGATTTTGGATAATTAAAAAGATTTGTAATCAATTATGCAACATTAATCTATTAATAAAATTGGAATACCAAAGAAGAAATGGTAAAGACTCTTTTTATTTGTTTTCGTAAGGTTTTAGATATAAGAAAATTGAAAACTACGAGAATGAATCAATTACCATAGAGGTTGTAGATAAAATATTCAAGAAGAATAAAGAAATAGTTTAATTTTTGAATGAGGCTTATATTGAGGTAATAAAGATTTCGGAAGAGAAAAAGAAAAGAATGGTTTTGAGTTCTAATTAA